GGGACTATAGTAGCGTATTTTTATTTGTCTCAAACGCATTTTATTCAAAAAATTGACTGTTTTCATTGAAGAAGGTTTTGTTCCGTTTTTTTTAAGATTTTGGTAAACAGTAGGTTTTACATTGTTTATCGGCTAATAATTTCTTGTTGCTTTGGATTTTTGTTAGTATTTCACTACTTTTTGAGACAAAAAGAATGGAAGTGTGAGCGATGTGAAAACAGTTTTTCTAATGTGTCTTATACGTTGGAACGCTTTTGCTTATTTGTGCGTGCGTATTTTCCTTCTTAAATTGTTTTTTTCTAATTCTAGCACTTTTTTCTAGGGCAAACCTTACATATGCTAGACGAGCTTTCTAGTCGATAGACAAACAACCGCTCATAAAGGCACTGCACTATGGATTCTCAGCCTTGGTCTTCTGTAAGTATTTATTTGATCTTTGCTTAGTAGTAAATGCGCGGAAGATTAGCCACTAGGCCTTTAAGTGTTCTGATGCTTTCCTCTTAGATAATTCCCATTTACATTTTTATTATCTTTTCCCTGGACATTATTTAGTTTTTTAGTCACTGGCCGCTTGATTTACAAATATGGTGTGTGTTGGGAAAATGAATATTTTTTAGCAAATAGAAGGCTCCAGCACAGAGGAAGAGGAGATGGAGACGATACGTGAAAGTTCGCGGAGTGCGATGTGGAGCGGTGAACAGGCCGAGTGTCAGTCTTTCCCAATTAGCGAGGATGATCGGGAAGGGCACGAAAGATTGAAAAAACTGTATCCTTGCGTGAATGAGAAGGTATTTTTTTAGGTTAAAAGATAAGTACAAATATTTTGCAGTTCTTTTTATATTTTATTAGACAGTACAATCAATCTAGTTTATTTCTTTAAGACATAAATTGAGGTATTACATTTGAGAAAATGCTTGAGCGGCAGTCGCGAATTGTTTTACATTTATTTATCTCTTAGTGTAATAGTCTGAGGATCTGTTGGAAAGACTTGTACTGTTTTCATTTTGTTTCTGATTCAGGAGACGCCTTTACCTCTTCGTTGGAGCGCGCAGGACAAATGCAATTGGCTCATACTTTCACATGATTCACTTAGCATAACATACAGTGGTAGGACTATTTCTGTAGTCCAAATAGGATTTTTTTTTCCTTTGTTTAAGCTTTTAAAATAAATGGAGGACAATGAAGTGTTTTAATTGTCTTTTTTTCGGTCGTCTACTTCGGAATACTAATGCATTATTTAGGGCAAGGGAAAAACCCTAAAGATGCAGCTGCCGTACGTGCCGATCATCCTATACCATTAACATGTGGGGTGTACTATTTTGAAGTACTTGTCATGTCGAATGAACCAGACTGTTGCATGGGTATCGGTCTTTGTGAAAAAAACGTTGATTTGCAGCGACTGCCGGGTAAGCTTTGAAAGTCCGTTGGGAAAAAGCAGAACTTATTTTGTTCAAAAATTAGCAATGCATTTTCTTCATCTTGGTTCCTTTCCTCCTGGTTGGTTTGTTAATATCTCTTCTTACACGGCAATGTTGACTATTGTTTGGTCTTGTATAGGCCTCTTTACACTTGTTATCAAGGAGGATCTGAAGCCTCAAATGCTGTTTTTCGGTTTAGTTTCCTTTCTAGATTTAAAATTTCACTGAAGGTCTCAAACAAAATTTTTTTGTTTTTGATTGATGCAGCGTATTAAGCAGCTTTTTATCTTTTATTCGTTTTTTTATCTGAGGATTTGGTAACTTCTTGGAGAATTTCTTAGAAGTTAGATTTCGCAGTCATTAAGTCGGATTCTGTTAACTAAACAAGTTGTATTACAATTTAAAATTGCACTAGTTCTGTGTTATTATAGCTAAAAAAGTTATAAATTTTAATGAGATGGTTTAAGTAAGGAATAATTTGGGGTACCCACTAAGAAAATGCAACTGTTTAATTTTGAGTAGTACTCTTATTCACGTTCAAACGCTGCCATTTTAGGAAGTATTTTCTTTAGAAATAACAGCAATTCTGGAATACTTGTTGACAGTTCTATGCTTGCTTTCTTTGAGCAGCACCACCTCTTTATTTTGCTTGTAAAGGAGTTATTAGGGTTTTTCTGAAATTGTTTTTAACAATCGATGCTAAAATTTGAGCGCCATTTGGAATTTGCGCACCAGGGCGACTATTTTACTGAATCTTATTCTGTACTTTTTATATATATATTTTTTTTAGTAGATGGTACTGCATATCTGCTAAAGCAAAATATTTCAGATATTTTTTTGTGAGGTTTTTGTATTTTAGGTTGGGACAAGTGTTCGTATGGTTATCATGGAGATGACGGTAACTTCTTCTCGTCTTCTGGGTCTGGGAAGCAATATGGCCCTACTTTTACTACAAATGATGTTGTTGGGTGTGGTTTAAATATCGTGACAAGGACTATCTTTTATACGAAAAATGGAACAAGTTTAGGTCTACTTTTCATTTTTGCTACATTTTCTTTAAATGCTAGCCGCTTTTTGAAAATATGTTTGTGAGTTGAAATAGCTTAAGTAGCTGAAGAAGGACCATTCTATTTTGGAGTTGCGGCGCTAAGATTCGGAAACTAGTTTTCACGAACTATTACGTTAAAATATCTGTTTATTTGACATCTTTTATTCAATTTTCGTTTCAGGCACTGCTATTAAAGATATTTCAAATGTAGCTGATCTGTATCCAGTAGTTGGGTTGCAGAAACATGGAGAAATCTTACAAACAAATTTTGGTCAGAAGCCATTTAAATATAACATTGCGGTTGATATTCAGGTGTGTTTTTGAAACTTCTTCTTTTGCTTTAAATACACGTTTCTGAGCTTTATAAGTGAATCTTTTGCATATTTCAAGGCGTCAACATCTTTTTTGTAATGTAGCAGAGGTGTCGTAGTGACATAACTTTCGGCTAAAAATTTCCTTACCATGATGAAAGAAGTTTCTTTTAGGAGGCTATAGCTCATACTTATGATTCGATTTATCATGTTGAACTGTGTCAATCGAAAACGGCTTGGATGAACCAGTAAGTTTTTTTTTGCCAAGTTGTATTAAGTTGGTGAGATTTCTAAGTTATCTGTTTATTAGCTTATTGAGTTAAATTAAGGTTCACGTAAAGGGATATACCGAAGAGATAACTGTTTTAGGTTCTTAGATTTTCATGCTGTTTACCTTTGAAGGGTAATTTTCAATTGTAAAAAAAAAGGGGGCTATTCTTACTGCTGCTTCTAGTTATCTTCGAAATTGGTATTTCTTGGCAATCTTTGCTTTCACTTAGTTCATTTACTAATATCCCTACTCAACTCAGTGGAGTTTACAATTACAGTGCTGTTGCTGCCTGGTTAGCTCATGAGGGCTATAGCCGTGCATTTAATGCTTTTAATAAATTTATATCTGAGCAGAAGACAACTGAGACAGAAAAGTTAGAGTCATTGGAAAAAAGGAAGTCGGAGCTTAGCGAGTCAATGGAAAGTCGGAGAGGTAAGTGTCTAGTCAGTTATCTAATTAGTGGTAATATCGGGCTCCAAGATGAATTAATCTTCAGTTTTTGATAAGGGTTTTCAGGTGAAAAGTACTTATGATGGTTTCTTTCAGCTATTTCACAGCTGATCCTTAACGGCAATGTCGAAGAAGCAATTGCTCGCATTGAGCAGTTATATCCAGCACTTTTACAACGTAACAAAGAACTCGCGTTGTTACTAAAGTGCCAACAGTTTGTGGAAATGTTTGTTGAAATAAGTGTAAGCTTGTTTTCTAAATTGTATTCTTCTTTTTTTAGTGATTTATTTCTTTTAAAGATAACCTAAGTTTTGAATGTTTTGCGCATCTCAATCTGCTGCAAAGTATTTTTTTATTTGTAGTCGAAGGGGCCAAGCAAAGTTGTTGGTAGTGACGCACCGGCACAGGCGGAAAAACCAGAAACAGCACAAAGTCGATTTGGGAATCCTCCGTCAAAATCTGCCAGATTATCAGATTCTTCTGGTTAGTATTTTTTGTTGGTCATAAATTATAGTAAGCTTTAGTAAATTGTTGGATATGTGTATTGGTTTTAAAAACTTCTTCATTTAATTATATTTCGTCCCGATAAAGTTGACACTTTCTTCCAATAAGGGATTTTTTTTGTCTTGTTATTATTGAGCAATAATGGTCAGTAATAATTTAGGTGGTCTCGACTCTTCGTATGCTACAGTTTATACACAGAGTGGGAGGTCTTTCAAAGTTACTCCATCAGGGTCTACTGTGGGAAGTAAGGGTATAAATGTTTTCAAGAGACGCAGTGGGGAAGGTAAATTACTTTTAATTTTACTAGATAACAAATGTTACTTTTCTATTTCATGGAACTAGATGTTATATCCTGCCATGTTGTTTTGTTGTTTCCTCAAAATTAGTTTTATTTCCGAGCACAGTTCTTGTGCAATCTCCTATTTGTTCGTTTATTATATCCTTAAAAGCTAGGTGCCTCTAAATTCAGAAGTTGTATTATAAATTGTTGGTGGTCATTTGTTGTGTTTGCTGGAATAATTTATATAATACTGTAGCGTTTTTACAAGGAAAGTAACTGATGTATAGTTGTTATTTCAGCATTTTTCGCTCCTCACTTGTTTTTTGTGTTCATTTTTTTAGACGCTATAGTTTTTCAAGGAAGAAGGTCTTCTTTACGTACCGCTCATAACACTTCTAGCCAGATGCTTACTTCTCATGCATCAACATCTACAGTTGTAGCAGAAAATGATAATTGGTAACACATTTAATCTTCTTTTTGCGTTTTCAGCTTCTAACTAGAACTAGATTTTTAATTTCTGTTGGGTCGTTTTGTTTTCAGTCACAATGCCTCCACCGATGATCCCTTGGAGGTTAGTTGTTTGGGTGATGCTGATTTTGGATCATCAGTTTCTAACGGTGTGTCTCAAGGTAACTGCAGGATCAGTAACTTATGTTTCGTTGGTATTTCCATTACTATTGTGACTTAGTAATTCTTTAATCGAAAATGCGCTGAAATTGCTTTTTAGCATCAAATAGAGGCGTTCTTTGCTGTAGCAATGGTGTAGGCCCTAAGGCAAATGGAACGTCGTATTCACATGCCTCGGCGACTACTATTGTAGCAGAAGATCAAGGTTTGTTTATATATTTATGATGTTCAGGAGCTACAGGATTTTTTGTTTTTCTACTGTCTGTATTCAAAAGTGACTTTAAATTCTCTTTACCATCTTGTTTTTTTATTCCTCGATCGTTGTTTCCTCGTTATTATTTCGTGAAACATACCATTTCGGGTTGTAAAGTTATTCTTTCAAGGAGATTATGACGTTTCTAGGTTAAAACCAACATACGTTTTGTCTTTTTTCCCCTTTTTTTCTCCTTTAACCGTTTATTTTCTAGTAGACTGTTCGATTTCTTTTGTATCCTGTAATGTTTAAGATGAAATGTTGGGCGAGTATAGGAGGCAGCATTTACCTGAGGAAAATTCTTGTTCACCAGGGTACACGAAAGCCGAGTTAGCTCCTTTTGAACGCTACCAAAGTTTGCTTCTCTTTGGTAGAACAATTAATGCTTTGAGTTTGGAAATTACCAACATGCCAGAAGAGCTAAATACTCTAATGAACGTAAGTAATTTCGTATAGTGTTCAAAACTGGATCTAAACCTTTTATTGAACTTTTCTTCTGTTACCTAATTATAAACTGTGATGTATTTTAGGATGCTTTTGCACTTGTGTGTCAAGCTTCTCCATCTAAATCGCGAATGGCTTATCTTATGGGGCCCTCCATGCGCGAGCGTGCTGCTCATGCAGCTAACAGCGCTATTTTGAGTAAGTTTCTGCTTCAGGTTGTAGTCGAATATCCATTTGAGCCAAAACCACGTCACAACTAGTACGTGGAGCAAATGAAGCAAAACTTTATCGAACTGTACTGCTTACTTTTCAAAAGCTTTACTTTTCCATTGCTCGGCAAATGATTTGGATTATTTTTTCCATCTACTAAATGACATAGGCAGAATTTGTTTTTTAAGAATTTCTTGGTTATTCCGAAGAATCTGTGCTTGCCCGTTACTTCCGGAAGGCTAGGAGTTTAAGGCAAAAACTTATCCAAAATCAGGTTGTATCAGCTGTTTTTGCGGATGTCGATAAAATGGTTTTGGGAGACAGATATGTTTGGCGTTAATCTTACCAAGAAAGAACCATTTTTTATTTTAGTGCTGCGATTGTGGTTCGTGAATG